AGCTACATCAGATATTGTTGGACCAGAGAGCCCTGGCTGGCCAGGTTCAGAAGTGCAGCCCAGCCAGGCTGGTGGTGGGGGATTAGAGCCCCAGCACACCAGGGTGGTGGGAAGTACAGCCCTGGTGAGGCCTGGAGGTGGGGAGCACAGCCCCAGCAGGGGCTGGAGGCATTGAAGCCAGCCCTCACCTGGAGTTGGTGCAATGTGGGGCTGGAGGCAGCAGGGCCAGTGGTAAGGAGCACCACCCTGGCCAGGAGAAGAGCTTAGAGCTAGGTGGGGACTCTTAATTTCTCCTGGTCCGGCAAACTCCATTGTTTGGGACCACTCAGGTCCCAAAGGTGCCAGCACAGGCAGGTCCCACCTATACAAGATCTTTATCGGGCATTCTTAAAACTTAAATACCCACCTGGGAAAGTGAGGAAACAGACTGACAGAACCAGACAAGTACCCAGAAATCAACTACTTCAGGGCAGGCCCAACAAGGAAAATAACAGAATACCACTGCTTATCACCTTCAACTCCCAGCTTAAACCCCTTCAGCACATCATTGACAATCTACAACCTATAGTAGAAAACAATCCCACACCCTCAAAGGCCAATCCTCACCTACGGACAACTCCCCAACCTGAAGCAAATACTTTCCAGCAGCCACACATTACACCTCAGCTACACTCACCCAGAAACTTACCCCTGCAACAAATCCCATTGCCAAATCTGTCCACATATCTATACAAGAAACACTATCACAGACCCTAGCCACATAAGCCACAATATCAGAGGCTCATACAACTGCACAGCCTTTAATGACCTATATGTCATCAAGTCCAGCAATGCCCCTTTGCCATGTATATTAGCCAAACTGGACAGTCTGTATGACAAAGGATAAATGGACACAAATCAGACATCAGAAATGGTAACACAAATAAACCTGTAGGGGAACATTTTAACCTGTCTGGTCACTCGATTATGGATTTAAAAGTAGCTATCCTTCAACAAAGGAAATTCCCCAGCCAATTACAGAGAGAGAGAGTGTGTTGAATTGGTATTTATCTACATATTTGACTGTTACCCTGGGCTTGAACAAAGACTTTAACTGGATGTCACATTATAAAGCCAGTTTCCCCTATCTTTAACAGTTGCATTTTTACATCAACAGCTAAGAATGGGACACTTGCAGCCCACTTAATTAGCCTCATTAGCACTGGTCCTACAATTGAGAGGTACTTTTTTTTGCTTTTATATGTATCTTTGTTTCTGTTATTTCCACTCCAGCTCATCTGATGAAGTGAGTTTTACCCACAAAAGCTCATGATATTACATATTTTTGTTAGTCTCTAAGGTGCCACAGGACTACTCATTATTTCTAGGATTTACAGTTCGGTTTAATGGCACCTCTACTGCACAAATTGTTCCAGTGTCCCAATATCCTTCTAGTGTTATTTAAGTGGAAGTGGGGGTTGAGTTTAGACACTATCTAATATAACTTCACATCAGTATGAAATCATGCCCACAGATTGTATTTGGAGTCCAGAGCAAACGAGCAGAGACAGAAGCCACTTACAGTGATTGTTCCTCTGAATAGAAAGCCACCATTCAAAACTACCTTTCAAACTGAAAAAATAAACCAAAGTTGTTTCCAGGGAATGGAAAGTGAGGAATTTCCAGATGCATAAACTGAGACTGAATTTCCAACTTTTCCCCATCAACAAGTCTATGTAAAACTCCATATTTTGGTGCTTCAGAGTCATCCCAATGGTCTGTCAGAGAAAAGTTTGTTGATTTTCAAGGTTGCAAAGACCATCTGTTCACTCAGGTTTTTGTCTGTCAGCTTAGTTAAAAGGAGAGTTCAAGTTTTTTTGCTGGGGGTTTCTTTAGAGCTAACATAATTTGTTATTCTGTTCATTTAGAAGCTTTAATTTGTGGTTTTGAAGATTGTGTAACTGCTCTGAGGGGTGGCAAGAGGCCCATTTGCGAAGTTCAACAATAAGTTTAACAATACAGTAAATAACTGTTCAGTGATTTGCCCTGTACAGAGCACCATGGCGTGCACTATAAGTTATTAGTCCAGGCTCAAAGACAAAGAACAATCCTAGTGCATTAACATGTCTTTATGAGGTGCCTAGTAAAAAGGAGATAAAAAATACAGTTCCATTTGGATAACGGAACACTGAATCACTTCACTAACTGTTGTCACACATTAAGGATGACCCACAGTTGGCCTCAGGGCTGGGGGCACATTATTTTGCAATAGTCTATTCTGGAATAAATTTTCTTCAGGGCTCTCAAAACATTTACATGACCATTAATTTGTGAGGTACTTAAGTGTTATTGCCTCCGTTTTACTGGTGGTGAATCTAAAGCAGAGTGTCTGTAGACAAATTGTCAGAAGTATTCACTGAAGTTAATGGGCGTTTCAGGTCCTGAGACCTGCTGAAAATCAGGCACCTGCCATCTTAACTGACCACACAACAACTGAGGCAGTCAGAATAAGACAATACTTTTGAACTTCCAACTGAGAGCAAGTTAAGGGAAATAATGGCTATAAAACAAAGAGGTTCTGACTATGGATACTGTGCTCCATCCCACATAATACTCCACTTAAGGTCTCTCCTCTGTTCCTCTTGATCATGGAAAGAGTTCCCCCATGCATTACTTTATTTGTTGTCTCTGTCTATTTGGATCTTTTAAAGTGAACATTCAGCCTGACTTTTAGTCAATGTTGATTTAGCTTGTTCCATATGGTTACAAACCCCATTGCATGCAGCAAATTCTATTCCAGTCACTTCAGATGAAATCTGGTAATACATTATTTGCTACCTCTTGCCCAGATGATCAAGTAGACAATAAATGGTGTAATTGTTCAAACAAAGGTGGAGGTCAGATACTACTGTGATGGGGAGGCACATACATAACCAGATAAACAAGACCGACCTAGATTTTTGGAGGCTGAGAATTTCTTAGAAAGGATGAGCCAAAATGGTCATGAGATAAAGACACAAAACTAACACAGAAGAAGTCTGAACTCTGTTTCCTTGTTCTGCCACAGTTCAGGAGTAAGCAAATCTTTCTTTGCCTCTATTTGACATCTGTTAAATGAGGATAAATAGCATTTCCTTTTTGTTTACATGCTAAGGCTCAGACCCATTTCAGTGGCAGTTAGGAATTAACAAAAATTATCAGGAGTATGGAATGGCTGCAATATGAGGAAGGATTAATAAGACTGGGACTTTTCAGCATGGAAAAGAGACAAGTAAGAAGGGGAAATGATAGAGGTCTATGCGACTTTTCAGCATGGAAAAGAGACAAGTAAGAGGGGGAAATGATAGAGGTCTATACAATAAAGACTGGTGTGGAGAAAGTAAATAGAGAAAAGTTATTTACTTGTTCCCACAAAACAAGAGCTACGAGTCACCAAATGAAATGAATAGGTAGCAGGTTTAAACCCAACAAAGTATTTCTTCCCTCAGTCAGCTTGTGGAACTACTAGCCAGAGGATGTTGTGAAGACTAGGACTTTAACAGGGTTCAAAAGTTCATAAAGGAAAGGTCCATCAATGGCTATTAACCAGGATGGGTAGGAATGGTGTCCCTAGCCTCTTGTTTGTCAGAAGCTGGGAATGGGTGACAGGGGGTGGTTCACTTGATGATTACCTGTTCTATTCATTCCCTTTGGAGCACCTGGGATTGGCCCCATCAGAAGACAGGATACTGGGCTAGATGAACATTTGATTTGACCCAGTATAGCCATTATTATGGACTTATATTACCTTTGAGGATTTGGATGTCGGGAGGGGGGCAAAGATTTATCTCTTAGTGTATACTTGCACCATGGTTAGTACAGCAGAGTCCTGATCTCAGTTGCAGCCTGAAATGAGGGCAATGTTCAAAGACAGGACATTCCCCCAGGGATCAGAGTGGGTAGAATGAAGAGCAAACAGGTCACAAGTTCCCCTCCAGTCTGGCACCTGCTTGTCAGTGTGAACTGACACTTGGTCAAGGTGAACTCAAGGCTTCTGCTTCCTGCGGGAGACTGAAGAGCCGAGGGGTTATGTAAGATTACAGTTGGAGAGGTGGCCACGGCTCTGAGAAGAGGGAAGGAGGGTCGCTCCCTTCGCCGCCCGCAGCAAAGCGGGGACCTTTCAGCTTTCGGACAACAGCTACCCCTAGTGGCGAGGAATTCCCTGTCTCTCTCCCCTCTCGCTGATTCCATGCTGTCAACAGGTCTGGGAACAAGAGGCAGCAGCGGTCACTAACCTGGCAAGCGCCCCCGGCCCGTTCCCCGGGACAGACCCCCCCGGCCGCTGCAGCCCAGCAAGGCCGTTTGCAATCGCTCCCCAGCTGAGGCGCTGGTTTGCGGCGGATCAAAAACGGAGCAAGAATTAAACGCCCTGTAACCAAACGCCCCTGCCGGCGACGGCCCCTTCCAGGGCCAGCCCTCTAGCTTGGACAAGGCAGAAGCCCCCGTGTCCCATCCCCTGACCCGGCAAAGGAGAGGCCATTGCCCCGCGCCTCCGCTGGTCTGCCCGGCTGCAGTTTCTGGGTCCCGAAATGGAGCGGGGGTAGGGTAGAGAAAACGCATCAATACTCGCGCTCAATGGCAGAGAGCTACTGGCCCTGCCTCCGGGCAGCGAGGATGTGTCTCCCGGCAGCGCCTATGGCAAACACTCCCGCTGCCCCCACACGTGCGCTGCGGCTGCGCCCCCCCCTCCCTGCTGCACTGTCCCGGGCCGGGAATGGTGCCTGCTATCTGCCTCTGGAGCCCGGCTGCGTCCTGGCTCCCTGCGCCGTGGCACGTCCCTTGCAGCTCACGGCGGGGCTCTAGCCTCCTGCCTCGCTGTGTATTTTTAGGTCACTGGCGCGGAGGGGTAGGTAATCCCCAGGCTTCAGTTCCAAAGGGGCGGGGTCCGGCCGGAGGTGGAGTCACTTTTCATTTAAATCCCTGACTATAAAATGGGCTTAAGCCCCCCCCTCCCTGCTGCACTGTCCCGGGCCGGGAATGGTGCCTGCTATCTGCCTCTGGAGCCCGGCTGCGTCCTGGCTCCCTGCGCCGTGGCACGTCCCTTGCAGCTCACGGCGGGGCTCTAGCCTCCTGCCTCGCTGTGTATTTTTAGGTCACTGGCGCGGAGGGGTAGGTAATCCCCAGGCTTCAGTTCCAAAGGGGCGGGGTCCGGCCGGAGGTGGAGTCACTTTTCATTTAAATCCCTGACTATAAAATGGGCTTAAAGAGAAGCGGGAGCTCAGCTGAGCTGCAAGGAGCCCGGCAGGCAGGCGTGTCTGGAAGGGGGGCGAGAGCCGGAACCCAGCAGCCCTCACGATGCTCCACTCCCTCGGCGTTCACACCTTGCAGCTGCTCACCCAGGCTGCTGCCTGCCCTCCTGCCTCGCTGTGTATTTTTAGGTCACTGGCGCGGAGGGGTAGGTAATCCCCAGGCTTCAGTTCCAAAGGGGCGGGGTCCGGCCGGAGGTGGAGTCACTTTTCATTTAAATCCCTGACTATAAAATGGGCTTAAAGAGAAGCGGGAGCTCAGCTGAGCTGCAAGGAGCCCGGCAGGCAGGCGTGTCTGGAAGGGGGGCGAGAGCCGGAACCCAGCAGCCCTCACGATGCTCCACTCCCTCGGCGTTCACACCTTGCAGCTGCTCACCCAGGCTGCTGCCTGCTTCCTCCTGCTGCCCCGCTTCCTGCTCACCGCGCTGATGCTTTGGCTCCTGGATTTTCTGTGCATCCGGAAGAAGGTGCTGCTGATGGGCAGGGTGGAGGAGGAAGGCAGCCCTGTCCAGGAGCCACCCCCTGACGACCCCCCGGTCTGCGTGTCCGACTCCAACCGCATGTTCACCCTGGAGTCCCTGAAAGCCGTGTGGCACGGGCAGAAGCTGGACTTCTTCAAGTCAGCGCACGTGGGCTCCTCCGCCCCCAACCCCGAAGTCATCCAGCTGGATGGGCAAAAGCGACTCCGGATCCTTGACTATGCCCGAGGCAAGAGACCTCTGATCCTGAATTTCGGGAGCTGCACCTGACCCCCCTTCATGGCTCGCCTGAGGTCCTTCCAGCGGCTGGCCGCGCACTTCGTGGACATCGCTGACTTCCTGCTGGTGTACATCGAAGAGGCTCACCCCTCCCACTGCTGGGTCAGCTCCGACGCAGCCTACGAGATCCCCAAGCATCAGTGCCTCCAGGACAGGCTGAGGGCGGCTCAGCTGATGCAGGAAGGGGCGCCTGGCTGCCCCCTGGCAGTGGACACCATGGACAATGCTTCCAGCGCCGCCTACGGAGCCTACTTTGAGAGACTCTACATCATCCAGGAGGAGATGGTGATGTACCAGGGAGGCCGAGGACCAGAAGGCTACAAGATCTCTGAACTGCGGAGCTGGCTCGACCAGTACAAAAACCGGCTGCAGAGCCCTAGCACGGTGGTCATCCAAGTGTAAAAGGAAATGGCACTGGGGTGGGTGGGGGAGCGGCCGTCCTGCACGGGGGCGGGCTGGCAGGCGCTTCTCTACTCCTTAGCCTCGGGGCTGCAGGCGGCTGACGTGCGAGCTTCATGCAAGAAGTGTCACCGCTGCCCCTTCTCTGATCGAATCATGTTGATTTGCCAGGCCAGCTCCGTGCGTGCCGCATGTCCATATGCACCTTGTAAATACCCCTTTTTGTAACACAGCGTTTCCTATTTTTATGGAGGTTTTTCTAGGGGGGGCGGGGGAGAGTGGGTCCGTGTGTGTGTGTCTGAGAGCAGCTGCGTCCTAGGGGGTCGCTGGGTGCCCGGATCACACCAGGTGGGGCGTCTAGTATCTCTGGGTGACGACCGATTTTTAAATGGCTCTCAAAATACCAGGAAATCGAGTCCGATGTTGTTAGATACTAGAAGCGCCACGAGCCGGGACCAAGCGGAATGTCCTATTTATGGAGTCTCTCTTTTGTAAAACGGGCGTTCATTTTTTAAATGAACTTTTTATAGGAATAAAGATCTGGAATAAAGACGCTCCTGCTCTTGTTTCCCTTGGACAGAACTGATAAGCTATTGAACTCTCTCCCGTATAACCTCTCCCCTTCCCACGATCCGAGCGGCGTAGCGGGGGGACGGGCCAGGGCAGCGGTGGGGACAGGAGGCACTGTCAGCGATCTGCAGGAAACCTGTCCGGGAGGAGGCATTACAGCTTTCCTTGCTGAGATGCGCATATGCTGGCGGGCAGGGGAAACCGCTGGACTGCGGCTCCGCTAACCCTGAAAAGACTGGGCGTCGGGATCTCAAACGTTGCCAGCCCCTTGCTCCTAAACTCTGGAAAGTTAGGAAGCCACGGCGGAGCCCCTGACTGCTCTGAGGATCGGGATTCTCCGAAGGGGGGGAGGCGCGCTCAGGTTATTAAATCCTTTCTGCGGCGCGAAAAGGCTCCCTGCGGCAGTTTCCAGAGGTGTGCCCCGCCCGAGTGTCCTGTACCGCCTTGCTGTGTTCGGGCACGTGTGACGCCGGCAAAGGCTGGGAAGCCCTTTCCCATCAGCCTAGATCGTAGAGCAGCTCAGGAAGGCCCCGATTCAGCGAAGGTACTTAAGCACCTGCCTCCTTTTAAGCAGCTGAACAATCCAAGGTGACTACTCATCTGCTTAAACTACGGCACCTGTTGAAGCACCTCACTCAATCAAGCCCCAATCCCTGCCCGAATCAAAGGTCGCTGAGCATGCTCTTAGAGCAGACCGACTCCACATGCTCGGTCATATGGGGGGCGGGGGGAATTGGTGTATTTTCATCGGTGTGTCATCAATCCGCCAGGCTCACCCGGGACCCGCACCTGGGGAAAAACAAGACTTGTATTTCAAGTTGTAGGTGTTCGTTATTGCATGCTGCTGGGGAGTCCTAACTTTAAACCAAACCGGGGCAATAAGTCATCCCCAATGTATGATTGAAATCTCAAAAGCTAAAACATTCAATTCATCTGACTGCTTAATAAGTCTAGGAACCCACGCAAGAATCCAGAGACAACACCTTTAAATGATTATGCTCTTGTATTGTTTGTTTCTTCTGTCTCGGACATGATCTTTGAAACCCAACAAAAAAAGACAGAGAGGTTAGAAGAACCTGGTCTCCTAAATCAGGTAAAAAAGTGGGTACCTTTAGTCTCTAAAACAGTCTTCAAATACTTTAAGGGCTGTTATAAAGAGGGTGGGGGATCAATTGTTTGTAAGGTCTTGAACAATTTTTATAGTGGGGATGCAGGGAACCACTGAATTAAACCATCAACCTGTATATAAAGGAAACTACTTCAAGCCAACAGGTAGTGCAGCACTCTCTGCATCCTTAGTTTAAATGCCTATGTTCTCCACATCCACTGAAGGTAAGAGACGAAGTAAGGAGATTTAGGTAAAATATTAGGAAATGTTTATCTCCAAAGATAGTTAAGCTTTAGAATAGGCTTTGAAGGGAGATAGTGGAATCCCCATTACTGGAGGTTTTGAAAACTGCCTAGACAAACACCTATCTTGGTCTACTTTTACATAATACTCTCTCAGGATAGGGAGCTGGACTCCTCAAAGTCCTTTTCAGCCCTACACATCTATGATTCAATAAGAAATGATCACTGGAAATGTATTAATCAAACCAGTCAAGACATTTTGGGATGAAGGCATTTTCTTGTAACGTTTTAATAACTCCTTATATATAAAGCTAGTTTAGGAAAGATGATGGTGAGAAACTTAAATTGTTGCTATCTTCCTGATGAAGTGTAAAATACTTTTCCCCATATCAGATTAGCCCTATTGAGAACTAGGAAGCCTCTTAGCCTTTAAGGCAATGTAGGTCCTTTCTGCAAAATAACTGTGCTAACTTTGCAGAAGACTCTTTATAAACATATTACAACCCTTATCTTTTCAGAAATAGGCTGCATACAACCACTTCAAGCTTATGGAGTGTATATCTCTTGATTCCCATCATAACTCTACAACCAAAAATATATTGGCCAACATTTTCATGCATGTGCACCTAAAGATAGGCATGCCAGTCAAATGTATCTTAAAGCTGCTGGCTTCCCACAATTCTTAATGATTTCAGTAGGAACTGTCAGTGTTCAGGTTTTCCAAAAATTAGGGCATTTTGCCAAAATATTGAATCATGTGCCTAACTTTAGACATCCACGTTTGAAAATTTTGGACACAGACACTAATTTTTGTTAATATGATGCCTCCCTGCATATTTGCTCAACTCACCATCTTGATAAAGGGAAACTAAATAACACCATACATTTCATACCTTCCTGAGCTCAATCTATTTGCTGTCACAAGCATTTGTCACACACACAAAGGCAATCTCCCATGCGGTGGGTTCAGGGGATTATGGATATGGGGTTAGTGCTTGTCAGACATATATGAGCTCTCACACAGCTTCCAAAACTCCAAGTGTAGTTTTGTTTCTAAAGTCAAGTGATGAAGGATGTCTAATCCTACTATCTGCATGAGATAAATAACTCTTTCAAATTACTCAAAGCACTGCACTCTGCAACAGAACCACCACGATTATTTTAACACTCTCTTTCTTTTGATTTTGGCATGGAACCAGGGTAGAAGGATCACCATTAAAGATAAATGTTTCATCTATCTATTGAAGCTGCAATCTAAAGTAAAACGTTAATTCATTTTATGAAATGGTCACATTTTATGGATTTTTGTTTATCTAGCTCTGGATACATTTAAAGCATTTAGGTTCAATATTGGAGTTTATCCCTTCATTTTGCAAACCCCTGCCAGAAAACATAAGTTCCTTTCTCCTCCATCATATCCATCACTTTATCTTAGTCTTGCAAACATCAGGTTGCCTCTTCCACAAGGATATCATTCTAAGAGCAATATGTTCAACTTATTTCAAAACTGTGCGTGGGTTGGAAGAAACCTAGCAGTTAGCAATATACTCTCCGGCTGCGTCTAGAGTGGCATGATTTTGCGGAAATACTTTTAACGGAAAAATTTTTCCGTTAAAAGTATTTCCGCAAAGCGCATCTAGATTGGCACAGATGCTTTTGCGCAAAAGCATCCATGGCCAGTCTAGATGCGATTTTGCGTAAGAAAGCCCCGATCGCCATTTTAACCATCGGGGCTTTTTTTGCGCAAAACAGTTCTTCCCTGTCTACACTGGCCCTCTTGCGCAAGAGGGCTTTTTCCTGAGTGGGAGCGTGAAAGTATTTGCGCAAGAAGCACTGATTTTGTACATTACAAAGTCAGTGCTCTTGCACAAATTCAAGCGGCCAGTGTAGACATCTGGCAAGTTTTTGCGCAAAAGCACCTGCTTTTGCACAAAATCTTGCCAGTCTAGACGCACCCCCCTCCCCAATTTTAAAAAGAACAGAAAGAAAGAGAGGCAGCACCTTGAAATAAACGGAACAGATGTGCCTGTCTTGATGCACTTACAAGAGAGGGCTCAAGGGAAATAAGACCTGGGACGGGTATCAGTTGATGTTGACATACTCCGATGAAATGCCCAGAGTCTCTAGTCTTTCTTAACCATAGGAGTTGGCTATCTTGAATATATTGCTATGTTCGTCTTTCAGTGCACTGCTGTGTTACTCTTCTTTCCAGGACGTAACATTTTCCTCACCCATACATATAACCTGAGCTAATATATGCTGCCTCCTATGACCCCTCCTCACTGGCACTTAACCTCGGGACTGAGAAAACAAGTCAAAACTGAAATAAGAAACTTTGGATATCAATTTGAATAAAGAAAACTTAAGACATTACAAGTGTTTGGTGCAAACCAAAGCTATTCTCAATTGTATCCCTTGCTGGTTAGTTTGTAATAACTAAAGAGAAAAATTCTGACCCAATCCATATTTGTGCTATCCTACTTTAACTTTAGACAATATCACCTTGAGCAGTTTCCTTCGTGTCTTCACTAGAAAATCCTATCATGTTTGAAAACAATAATAAAGAGTCACATTATCTGCTCCAATACAGTTAGTGTAGATCAGCGTCATATGATTAAATCCTTGTCCCGGGAATGATTAAACACAATTAGCTGGCACCATCCTGCTGACAATTTCAGCATCGGCCAGAAGTTGTGTTCATCATCAGGTTAGCTAACCATGATGAAATACAGATCCCAGCAGCACTTAGACACAAGTAGCTGACATAATGCTGAATACAACCTGCCATGACTCAAACAGACCTATGAATCATGGACAACACTGTGTCACCTAACTGGGCTCACTGCTCTTCACAGTCTTGTGCCACAGCACGTGGCTGCACAGTTTATGAAGGCAGAATTTAGCCCATAGAATTGTTTCCAGATTTTAATTTTTCCTTGCTTTGTAATGAAGTTCACCTTTAGGTTTTTCACTCCTCATAGTTCTTAGTCCCATATTTCTGGCACACTTCAGGTAAAGTCCATTTTGTGCAGCTCGCTAGCTCAGACTCACTCTCATTTTCTGGTCCACAAAATGATTTCCACTCCGACAAAATGCGAAAGGCAGTGGTCCCTGTACTTAACTGGCTTCTATAGTCAAAGGATCATGCCTCTAACACACGGTTAGCTATTACTAAACTTTGGTAGAAGGCTATCGGAGGACAAGCATTTTCATCTGTTTGTAAATAAACCAGCTTTCAAATCCATATTCTTACTTCTGAACAGACAGCAGCTTACTTATCACTTTTCCTTTAATGAACAACAGAAGACAAATTTGCTTGAAAGAAAACACACTTTCCCTTTTGTACAAATCAAAGTTATCTGATCCTGTTATATCCTCTACTCACAATAAATCTTAAGCATACATCTCACTAAGGTTTCTCAGGGAAAGTTGTTTGGATCAGATTAGAACAATATGCTCTACTTCTGAAGAGCTCTGATGTGTCAGAAATGTTTCCAGTTGCTACAGTGTATTGAGTAACATGCTATTTATGAAACATGTTTTATTGTCTTGTCTTTTTTACCCCCCTTTAACTGGATGACAAACAGAAGTCAAATGGGAGCAAAGAGAGAGATCAAACAGAGCACCCTCTAAGCCTTGATTACTTGTTCCT